CTTGCTCCCTGGAGGTTAAGAAGGGAAGCTGACCCCCACCCTCCTCAGAGCACCTATGGGCTGTGAGGGCGCCTGTGAGGGGTGTCTGATGAGCCTTAGATGGGGCCCCTTTGCTGGCACGTCTTCATGTCTGAGCAGGAAAGTGGAGGAGAGCTGGCATTTGCTGGGCATCTCCCTGAAGCTGGTGCCGTGTCATGGCAGCTCACGCGGCATCTCCATGCAGACGTCCTCTGGACATCAGACACTTGCCCAAATCCCACTCCTCCCCAAGCCATGCAACCCCTACTCCCAGCATGCCTCATGCCCATCCTTCCCATTGCTCTGGCCCGAAGCCTCAGAGTCCTGCTTGGCCCCTTCCTCACAGCCCATGTGCAGTCCTGCGAGTCCCTTTGGCTTGCAGATTCCTCCAGAATCCCACCTCTTCTCCCCATGCCCACTGCTCCCACACGGACCCAGGCTCCGCCATCTCCCTCTGGACCCCTGATAGCCTCCTGCCCACAGTCTGTTCTCAATACCACAGCCAGAGGGAGCTGTTTAAAATCTAAGTGGTTCGGCTGGTGGGCTTCAGTGATTGAGCATCGACCTATAAACCAGGAGGTCATGGTTCGATTCCTGGTCAGGGCTCATGCCCAGGTTGTGAGCTCGATCCCCAGTCGGGGGCGTGCAGGAGGCAGCCAGTCGATGATTCTCATCATTGCTGTTTCTCTCTTTCTCCCTCTCCCTTCTTCTCTAAAATCAATAAGATATATATACTTTGAAAAGCAATATCTCATTGTAAAAAATAAAAGAAAATCTAAGTGGGATCACATCTCTCATCCGCTTGAACCCGCTCAAGTCCTGAGGGGTCCCAACATGATCTGCTCTGCTCGGTGCTCCCCTCTGGCCGCCTCTCCAGCCACAGCCACCCCTCCAGGTCCCACTTCTGCCTCAGTACCTTTGCTCCTGCTGCTCCCTGGCTCACCTGCTTCCCCAGATTCCACATGACTAGCTCCTTCCCTGGCCTACTTGGCATTTTCCCAAGAAGATGCCACCTTCTCAGGGAGGCCTTCCTACCCACCCTACTTAAAGTTGCCACGCCCCCACCTCGCACACCTTCGGCTGTATTTCCTCCATTGCACTTGTCGCCACCTAACGTTCTGTGTACTGTTTATTTTACTGTCTATGCCCACCCTCCCTGCCTTGATTAGAACGTAATGAAGGTGGGAAGGAATGTCTGTTTTGTTCACAAGATTCCTGGGGTCAACAACCGTTCCTGGCACATAGTAGTTGTTCAATAAATAATTATCAAATGAACGACCAGAGCCAAAGCAGAGAATTACGTAATGTCATCGCCATCCTCCAGCCTGCTGGTGGTAGCACCAGGTTTTAAAACCTGGGCTGAGCTGGGCCGCAGGAGGAAAGAGCACCCACAGCCTCCGGCACAGGGAGGGGCAGTGGAGAGCATTCGTTAGGAGACCACACAGGCTCCTTTCTCCTCCTAACACGGCGACACCCGGAGACTCTGAGCAAGTCAGTTCCCCTCTGTGAGCCTGGGTGCCCCCGTGGCCAGCGAGGGGGTGGGACGGTGCCTTGTGCGACGGTCCCAGGACTCAAGCCCTTTCTCCTGGGTGCGCCTCTGGGCAAGTGTCTGTTTCCTCCTGGCCCGGCCCCTCCTTCCTCCTGTGCCATCCACTCCTCCTGCACCAGCTGGACGTTCTGGGCTGGCTGGTGTGTGCCCAGGAGGAAGTGGCAGGAGGTAGGCTGGGAACTTTTCAGACTTACCTGGGCATGGGGCACAGGAAGGAAGGCCTGCCGGGCGCTCTGCCTGCCCAAGCCCGCAGCTCCCCACTCTGGAGAGGGCTGTGCCCCTGCACCATCCCCCACCCCACCCAGGCCAGCTTCCCTGGACGCCTGTCTCCCTCTTCCCCTGGCACCAGTCGCACGGGGACAGCCCCAGATGGCTCCCTGGCCTGGGGACAAAGGCCACACTGTGCCCAGCCCTGGGCTGGCCTCAGGCTGGGTCACACTGAGTCCTTCTGTCCCCATATGGGGGTGGGGGCAGACGCCACAAGGTGACAGGCCATTTTCCCGTCTCCCTTCCCCCGCGACCCCCAAATCTGAGGAGCTGACTCTCCCAAGGGAAAAGTGACAGAGGCATCTTGTGTCTTGAGCTAGGAAACAACAGACCATTCACTGCCCAGGCTGCCCTGTCACACCCAAGACCCTTCTGGGTTCAATGCCCCGATTGTCCCCAGCAGAGAGAGGCAGCCACTCTCTGCCATGGTCACCACCCCTGCCACCTGCTCCCTGTCTCCATCCGGAAGTCCATCCCTACATCTGACCTCCATCGCTCCCGCCACAGTGACAGCCACTTCCCCTTGGGCTCTCCTCGGGCCAGTGGAGGACAGCTGGTCCCCATCTCTCTGCCTCGCTTGGCCCCACACTCCTGCTTGAGTCAGCTGTCCCCCCCCCACCTCACCCCCATCCCCCCACAACCCAAGTGGGTGGCTCCTTGCTTCTGAAGGAACAGGAGGAGAGTAGGTACCATTCAGGGCTGGGCTCCTTTATCGTGTAGAAGTTGGAGGCCTCTCTCCCAGAGGCTTTTAATGAGCCCCCTGCCCTCCTACACAGCGAGAGCAAGGACGTGAGATTCATGGCGGCTCCTGATGGATTCCTGAGCACAAACCCATCGCTCCCTGCCAGAAATCCCAGGCGGCAGGACGGCTTTATGGGGGTCCCCTGTTTTCAGAAGGGGGCGTGGCTGGCTCTCTTGGCAGAGCTCAAACCTCAGGGAGCCAAGTGCTTGGCTCCCCCTACCCCCCCGGGTAACCCTGGTCGAGTCTGGGGCGTCAGTCTGTGCCTGACAGACATTTCCTCCCCTTCTCGGGGTCCTCCGGCTCCACTCAATGTGCTCTCCACCCTCGGCTCCTCCCCAGCTCGCTCTCAGGGGTCCCCATCGCAGCCAGGCGGGCAGTGGGAACCTGGACACATCACCCTCCCTGTCCTGGGCCGCAGGTGCTTCCCCACCTCACGTCAGATCCGTGGAGATGCTTTTAAGATGCATTTTCCCGGGCGTCATCCTCAGAGCCTCAGTTCCAGAATCTGAGGGTGAGACCCAGGAATCTGAATTTTTAGAAAACATATATTTTTATTGCTTTCAGAGGGGAAGGGAGAGGTAGAGAGAAATAGAAACATTAATGATGAGAGAGAATCGTTGATCACCTGCCTCCTGCATGCCCCACATTAGGGATCAAGCCTGCAACCCGAGCATGTACCCTGACCAGGAATCGAACCGGGACCTCCTGGTTCAGAGGTGGACGCTCAACCCCTGAGCCACGCTGGCCGGGCAGGAATCTGAATTTTTTACAAAGCTTCCTGGTGATGCTGGTGCTCTGCCAGCCTTGTAAACCACTGACCCTTATAACGGAGTCATCCCCGTACTCCTGTCATGCTGGGCAATGTGAGTCACAGGTGGGGTAGGTGTAGGCCCCCGTGTCACTAGGCCCATATGCCCCTCTGGCACCATGCCTGGCACGCAGTAGGTGCTCAGTCCTCGTTTGTTGAGCTGAACTGAGCGAGACTTCGGGGCCCACTGGCCAAGGGAGTCTTAGCTGGCAGTGCAGACCGAAGGCCTGGGTTCTGAGAGGCACAAGCCCGAGGAAGGAAGCTTGGCCATGCCCAGTGTCGGGGCTCCGGGGAGTTTGGGGACCAAACTTGAGTGCATTTGGGGGCAGCCAGGAGCATTCAGGCCCATGGAAGGGACCCTTTTCATGGTTCCTTCTGGCTGAGGACAGAAGGATGTGATCATTAGGCAAAGCAAACATGTTACTGACCCATAATCCCTTAAACCAGGAGGATTCAGGAGGGGCCTGGTTGCCTTGGCAACCGGGTAGTAGCCAGTGACAGGGCTGAGAGCATCCTCCGGGGATGGGCTGTGTCTGGTGCGTGGGTAAAGCTGGAGGAGGGGGAGGGCGGCCCCTCCCATCACAGGACTGGCCCCCATGCCTTCCTGGCAGATGTGGGTGGGGGCCCTTGCGAGACTCCTGGGTCCCGGCCCCACTGCAGCCCAGGGAGTGTGGGCAGAGCAGGGTGAGGGGGCGGCCACAGTGGGAGCTTATGAAACCCTGGCGGGGAGGAGGGACAGCCCCGCTCTGGGTTTTCAGGGCAGGACACAGAAGGAAGGGTCTGCGGGAGGAAGCAGTGCACAAGTCTCCTCACTCTGAGGGCAAGGGGGCTGAGGAGCTGCAGGGAGAACCCCTCTGGCTGGGCAAGGGCCCCCCAAGAGCCAGCAGAGCGGCCCGCCCCTCCCCCACTGTTCTCTGCAGTGGACACCCTTCCTGCTTGGGGCTCCGTGGGGGACCCTCTGTGTGTCCCCTGAGACCTTCAGCTGCGCCTGAACTCCCACATCTCAGCTGGCGAGATGGGGCTGGGCCAGCTCAGATGCACACACCTCCTCCCTCACTTTCCCTCTCTTCTGTCTCCTGGGGACCCAGGACGAGCCAGCGAGGAACCTCCAGGTGTTGGTATGAGGATGAATGGGGTTTGGACCAGACTCTGTCACGAGGGTGTAAGCCGGGCTGATACTTAGCTTATAGGCATCCATCAGCAAGGCTTACCGGCTGCTGACATGTCCAAGCTCACACATAAGTTGGTAAAGAGCTGCTGGCCCGAGGGCCATCGGGTTCTGGTGCCCTCCCTCACTCAGCCTTCCTTCCAGAACTCTCAGATCTTCAGGAGCTAAAGGGTTACCTCCTGGGCCGGGGGGACCTCCAGGACCCCCTTGGCATGCCATGCTGCTATTATGAGCAATGCCGTATGGTTCTGATTGATCCTTATTGTGAGCATCTCCCAGGAGCAGGGAATCCTGGTGGATTCACACGGGGGAGAGGGTTGGGAGCTGGAACCTGTGAAGACTCAGCCCTGGCTCCCAGGGCAGGGCCACAGAGCTTGATGGAAAGACCAAGACCCGCCATTCCCTGTTGCCTTGTTCTCATGGCTGGCTCTCCTCACTTCGGCCTCAGGACCTGCTGCCTGGTCCGGGCCGATCATGAATAAGATGAAGAACTTTAAGCGCCGCTTCTCCCTGTCCGTGCCCCGCACCGAGACCATCGAGGAGTCCCTGACTGAGTTCGCAGAGCAGTTCAACCAGCTTCACAACCGGGACAATGAGGGTGAGGGCACTCCCCCCCAAAAGCCCCTCCTTGCCCTCGACCACGCAGACCACACCCCACACCCCACATCGTCACTGCTGGCCTTGGGGGAGGACAGAGGGAGGATGGGGACTTCCCTCCGGGGCAGAGGGCCAGGGCGGTTCAGATTCCAGCTCTGCCATTGATTAGCTCGGTGACCTTGAGCACCTTTCTCAACCTCTGCATACTGCAGTCACCTTGTGTTAAAATGGTCACCGTGAATATTAGATGAGCTACCTTGTGCCACGGGCCTGGAACATTCCTGGTACATAGCAAGGGCCAGACAACTGGACTATTGTTCTTATGACCCAGGTACCCAAGTGCATGAAAAATATGCGTCCAGAATCATAGTGTCCACAGGAGCCTCAGTGCACAGGTGGGGACACTGGCCAGAAAGGGGAAGGGGCCTCCAGAGCTCATGTAGCAACAGGCCGGGTGTTCACGGAGGTCTCTGAGCACATGGTTGAGGCAGCTGGGAGCCTGGGTCGCAGCCTGTGGCTTGGCCCCGCGGAGTGGCTCTACAGGGAACGCCGGGCCCAGGGTGAGAGGCAGGGGTCTCACAGCACCAGCTGCCCACGTCTCATCCTGGCCACTGCAGGACATCAGTAAGAGGCTCTCTCTGCCCGCGGACATCCGCCTACCCCAGGAATTCCTGCAGAAGCTGCAGCTGGAGAGCCCGGAGCTCCCCAAACCGCTCAGCCGCATGTCCCGCCGAGCATCCCTGGTGAGTCCCCAGGGCGGCCGAGATAACCAGGGGGGGACACCCTCCTCCAAACGTGGACACGCACCTGGTTTGGCTTCTTTGGGCTGAAGCCGCAGCTGTTTCTAGAGACGGTCCCGAGCCTCTGGCGCCACCTGCTGGTCAGAGCAGATAGAGCCCTACATCCTTGGTCAACATTCACTCTAGGGCTGGGTCCCACCAGGGCTGGGGCTAGGCCTCCTCTGGGCCCCAGGGTCTCCACTAGAGCGAAATCAATAGACCCGCTGGCACGTGCTCTCCAGTCCTGGCTGCCATCCTATTTCCTTGGGAGCATCTTCCTAAACACGCAGACTCTGGTTCCCACGCTAGATACCCACAGAATCAGACTCTGGGCAGTAGGGCCCAGGAATCTGTATTGTTAAGGGTTGGGTATCACTGAGTCAGAGGAAGGGTGCTGATGAGAGAGGCTCCTGGGGTGGTGGGTTCTGAACTGGGCATTCGAGGTGCAGGGGAGGGAAAGACAGAGTTCCTGGAGCGGGTAGCCCGAACAAGACAGAGATAGACAGGTGACGTGTGCTGAGGCAGAACCCGGTCTGCAGCCCGGGGCTCCACACCCCCCACCGCTGGGAGGAAGGAACCCGCACTTCCAAAGCCTTCCTCCTTTAGCTCAGGGATGGAGGGGAGAGGAGGGGAGGGAGGGTTTGTGGCCTCCGTCGTTCTCTCTTCCCGATGGGGGTCTCCCTACCTTTGCTCCTGGGGAGGTGGAGTGGGGGAGGTGTGGTCTCGGGGCTGCTGGGGCCTCCAAGCTCACAGGACCCTACGTCTCTTCTCTCAGTCAGATATCGGCTTTGGGAAACTGGAAACATATGTGAAACTGGACAAACTGGGGGAGGTAAGAGACTGGGTTTGGTCTTCTCAGGGCAGCCAGCAGGATGGTTAGGAGTGGCAGGGCTTTCCCTGGGCCTCCCTGACCTGCCCCCTCGCCGCACCTGCCCACAGGGGCACACGATCTTGGCTGGGCAGCTGGGCTCAGCCTTTGGCAGGTGCTGGGGGGGCGGGTCCAGGTGCTGGAGGAGGGTGTGAGGATGGAGTGGCCCATGGGCCCTGGGCAGGATCCAGTGTATTTTTTTCATGCCAGTATTTCTTGTCTGAGTTCAAACCGAACTTGACCATGTACTAGCTCTGGGGCCTTGGGCACGTTCTGCGACCCCTCCTTGCCTCCGGTTCTTCGTCAAATGGGGATTCTAACTGGTCCCCCTTACAGGGCTGTTGAGGGTCGAAGCGGTCACTCTGATAAGCTTGTGGACAGCACTCAGGTGCCTGGCATGTAGCTAAGCACTGTCAGCTGTTTCTGTGATCATTGCACCAGGCTTTATGTTCAAGGCTGCGGGGGGCAAAGGGCTACAGAGAGGAGGAAGGTGGCCCTTCCCCTGCAGAAACCCAGAGAGACCCACGCAAATACCAGCAGCAGGAAGAACAAACTGGCGTGACAATAGAGGGGCCCTGGCCTGCTGGGGGCTGGGGGCTGGGGGAGGACAGTTCGCTCCGAGCGGGAGGAGTGAGGGATGCTTCACAGAGAGATGAAGGGAGAAGGGGGAGTCACAGCCCCAGCAGGGGCACAGAGGGGGGCCCTGGGCAGCGGAGAGCCGCAGCTGAGTGTTGCTGGGGCCCCGGGGTCCTTCTCCCAAGGGCACCTACGCCACCGTCTTCAAAGGGCGCAGCAAGCTGACGGAGAACCTGGTGGCCTTGAAGGAGATCCGGCTGGAGCACGAGGAGGGGGCGCCCTGCACGGCCATCCGAGAGGGTACGGCACCCCCGGGTCCTGACCTCCTGAGGGCTCCTGGGAGGAGTCTGGGGGTGCAGGTCATTGCAGGAGTGGGGTCATTGCAGGAAGAGGGGGTGTGAAGGGCACATGGGGTGCTGGGACCCAGGCGGCCTGTCTCCCCAGTATCTCTGCTGAAGAACCTGAAGCACGCCAATATTGTCACCCTGCACGACCTCATTCATACGGAGCGGTCCCTCACCCTGGTGTTCGAGTACCTGGTGAGTTGGGAGCTTCTACCCCTTGTGGCGGGGGGTGGGGGTGGGGGTGAGAAGAGGGGAGATTGGGGATGTCCCAGGTCTTGTTCGAGAATCAGGTTCTCAGATGTTCCAGGCCTAGGGGCAGCTTGGAGCAGGGACCTGTCCCACTCCTGGGCTTCGGCCTACGCCAGGATGGGGGTGGGGGGGCGGGGGGCGGGGTTCCAGCCCGGCGTCAGGACAGGCCGGGGCTGAGCGGCTCTGTGTTCCAGGACAGTGACCTGAAGCAGTATCTGGACCACTGTGGGAACCTCATGAGCATGCACAATGTCAAGGTGAGCGCCTCTGGCAGGGACCCCGCGCTCAGGCCCCGCCCATCTCGCACCCACCTGTCCTCATGCCCAGCCTGGGAACTCACTCACCTCCAAGGGCCCTGGCTGCTGAGGCTGCTCAGAGCTTCAAGTGAGGACGGAGGGAAGGCGCAGTGCCATTCGGAGAGGACCAGGAGCTGTGCTGAGCGCCTCAGCCCACCATACAGACACATACCCTCTGCCGCCATCTACCCCCCAACCCCCACCCCAGCATGAGTTTCTCCACCTGGCAGATGGGAGCATGAGTTACCTGGCAGGGTGAAGGGAGGCTTCTGGATGGATGACCTCTCCTGGTGTTTGTCAGAGCGTCAAGCGCATACATCCCCACATGCTGGGCTTCCTGGCCTGGAACTCTCTGCCCTCCCCCATCCCCGCCTCCCCCGTGTACCTGTTGCTCTTCCCTCTGGATGGGGTTCCCGGGGGTGGGGGAGCCCAGTTGGCTCTCCGGGTCCCTCACCCTGCCCAGTCCCTGTCCCCATCCGAGGCCCAGCCATGGGACACGTTCCCTCCTTTCCCTGCCCCCCTTCTCTTCCCTCCCGCCCCAGATCTTCATGTTCCAGCTGCTCCGGGGCCTCGCCTACTGCCACCGCCGCAAGATCCTGCACCGGGACCTGAAACCCCAGAACCTGCTCATCAATGAGCGCGGGGAGCTGAAGCTGGCAGACTTCGGTGAGGACACAGCCCCAGGGCCGCCGGGAGTCCGCCAGTCTCCTTAGGATGCGGGCGCCCTGCAGGAGGGCAGGCTGCGGCTCAGTGACATGTCTGTCCCTAGGACTGGCCCGGGCCAAGTCGGTGCCCACGAAGACCTACTCCAACGAGGTGGTGACCCTGTGGTACAGGCCCCCCGACGTGCTGCTGGGGTCCACCGAGTATTCCACCCCCATTGACATGTGGTGAGTGAGCGTCCCGGGACCTGGGGAGGCGGCGGGAGGACCTCCCACATCTCCACACTCCCTTTGGCTGCCCCACGTGGCATCCTGGTGAACTGGATGCTAATGGGTGAAGTCTGAACCACACTGGGGTTCCCTGTCTCTAAGTAGACCCCTCTGAGCTGTGCTTCTGAAGTATTTCCCCGGGGTCCCCAGGCTCACCGGAGGCCCCACTGTGAAGACGATGATCTGCCCAAGCAGATCGACTGGACGTTTTGGAAAGAATATATTATTTTAAAAATTTGCATGGATATTATTTGTTATCCTATGAACTCAAAAACCAAAACTAAAACCCAGGTTTCCGATGAGTGCCCTGGGGGTCTGCAGGAGAGCGGATGTATGACTTGTCTCCTCTGGCCGGGAGCACAGAGTGGACAGGGTTTGAGACAACACAGCTTAAGGAACTGCCACGGGGGTGCTGGCCGTGCAGACACAAACCCCACAGAGTGAAAGGGGAGCGGGCAGCGCGCCCTAGAGCCCGCCGACGCCCCCATAGAGGCTGTAGTGGGGGCTGGGCCACCCACCCCAGCGCCAGGACGTCCTGAGCCCCCCGGGGCAGGGCATCGTGGGGGAGCAGCCGGCCCTGACGCGCGCTGCCCGTTGCTCCCCGCAGGGGCGTGGGCTGCATTCACTACGAGATGGCCACGGGCAGGCCCCTCTTCCCCGGCTCCACAGTGAAGGAGGAGCTGCACCTCATCTTTCGACTCCTCGGTCAGTCTCCTGCGCTCCCCCAATGTGACCACCAGGGGGCGACAGAACTCTGTCCCGCCCAAGCGCATAAAGGGACTGGGACGAGCCTCTGCACCTGCTCACAGCAGGGCGAGGACCCAGGGGCCTTGGCCATTTTCTGTCTCCTCCCTGACATTGCACCCCTCCAGGTCGCCCTTGTCCCTGGCCCCTCACCAGGCCCCCCACCCCTTTTTTGTCTCCCTAGGGACCCCTACAGAAGAGACGTGGCCCGGAGTGACGGGCCAGTCTGAGTTCCGTGCCTACAACTTCCCCCGGTACCTCCCCCAGCCGCTCATCAGCCACGTTCCCAGGTAGCCTGCCTCCCCAGCCTCCTCTCCTGCTTGTGGTCCTGGCTGCCCCTCCCGGAGGTGCACACACCCTCCCTCCCACCCCGCCCAGGCCAGGCCTGTGCCAGCTCCTTCTTCCCGCAGGTTGGACTCCGAAGGCATCAACCTCCTGACCAGCCTTCTCCTGGTAAGTGTGCCCGCCGCCGGGCCAGGAACGGGCAGCCAAAGACAGCTGGAGCCCACGACCCACCCCGGCCCGGCACCCACCTCTGTGCTCACCCGCTCACACGTCAGGACTGTCCCTTCCTGGCCACTGTCCATCCCCCATCCCCCCACCCAGGCCCAAGAGAAGCACGATTTCCCCGCTGACTTGGAGTGGGGCGCACTCAGAACCAAAACCCAATTCAAACTCACTGAGTGGCTGTGTGGCTTGGGCAAGCTGCGGACCTTCTCTGTGCTTCAGTCTCCTCCACGCAAAGTGCAATCGGTCATCCATGTTTTATAAGATGGCCCTGAGGCCAAATCGAGATTATGGAACACACTTCCTCTGGGCATGTCCTTAATCGTTAAAGCACACTGAAGAGGGTACTTGTTGCTGTGACATGTTGCTGTTACTGTTAACGTTGTGATCGCGGTTGCTTTAGCGGCTGCATATCCATCCCCAGAGGAGGTCACGCTCCCTAGGTCCCATGTCTCGTTTTCCTGCTGGTGGGCCCTGGGCTGAGGCTGCCTGGGGCTGGGCTGGAGCTGGGAGCTGGCAGTGGACCCCAGGGCCTCTCAGTTTGGGCGCGGGCCCCTCCCATGGGGGGAGGGGCACCCCAGAACCCGGAAAGGGGGCAGCAGGTGTGAGCAGAAGAGCTGTAACCAAAAGGCCAGAGGCCCTCGGTCCAGCTGCACAGCCTTGGGCCAGGGCTTCCCCTCCTTCGGTTCTCATTTGTGAGCAAACGGCCAAACTGTGAGTCCGAGACTCTGCCTGAAAGGCACAGTCCTAACTGAAGGGGTTCCCCAGCCAGGGGGCGCACCCAGCTCCATGCTCTCTGGGTGTGGGGCGCCGGCTCACAGTGCAGGGCCGGCTCCGCCCAGCTCTCTCCCTGTCCTCCCCTCCAGCTGCCTCCATCTTCTCCCTGAAGGAGATCCAGCTCCAGAAGGACCCAGGCGGCCGGGGCCTGGCCTTCCAGCAGCCAGGTAGGGCCTGTGCGCCATCCCCCATCCCTCTCCCCCCATTAGTAGAGGAGACAGGACACGCTGCTCCCCCTCATCGGGGAACAGAGATGGGGCCCAGCAGCCCCTCTTGTGATGGGAAATCAGTATGGCCTCCTGGACGTTGGCTTCTCTTCCGGGGGCCTGTGGGGAGCTGGTTTCCCTATCTCCAGCCCAGGCTTCCTTCGGGCCCCTCCCACAGGGGCATCTAGCTTAGCTTAGGGGCACCGCTTCCCAAGGGGTCCCTGCAGCCCGCCAGCCGGGACCCAGCCCACCCCTTTTTTTCAGTATGAATCGAAGAGCCGCATATCAGCAGAGGCAGCCCTGAACCACCCCTACTTCCGGTCCCTGGGAGAGCGTGTGCACCAGCTC